GGGGGGGGGGGGGGGGGGGTATCTTTTTTTTTTCTTTTTTTTTTCCCAAATATTTTATTTCCCCCAGCCGAATATTATATATACGTATAATACTGATAAGTATATAGGGGAGGGGGGGTATCTTTGTTACTGTCTAAACAACAACTGCTATAGTTGAGATTTCGCTACACACCTCTGGCGCCTGAAGCCTTCCTCGGTGAAGTTTTCCTTGTTGAAGCCTTGACCACGCCCCCTGAAGGAGGCAGTCCCACCACGATGGTATCCACGCATTCTTCTGTTATTACCGAACGGTCGGAAATTCCCTCTTGTTCTGGAAAAGATAGAATTCACATTAGTTCTAAAGCACAGCATGTATCAACCGTTTAACCTTATCCTACAGTATGTTCAGAAATTATCATTTGATGCTAAATACAATTGGAGTTCTTACAGTTTGCAGGTGAGAACATTTTAATTTTTGCTATTTTACAGAAAAATGGGTTCTTATTTAGTCATTAAACGAGTAATATTCAAGAAACAGGAAATTCAAAAACTTATTTTGCATATGTTTCAATCATTTTATTTCCATGTCAGTTTCCTGCACTGCCAAGGTTTAATAAGGATTTAGGAGATTTTTTGGCTAATCAATTTTTTAAAGTGACTAGAATGCAAGATTCGACCCCTGTAATATAGCCGACAAGATTTACCCCTACAACATTAGAATTTTCCAACCTACTAATTTATCAACCGGACCTTAAATTTAATTTCCTTACCGTCCCCCTGTAGCTACGGCTGCTGGTGTCGCTCCTCCTGTCCCGGAAGGACCCACAGTACCACCATCTGACCACTGACCACCTTCAGCCCCCTGTGGACGACTGTTGATCCAGCCCCGCCTCTCATCTGGTCTCTGACCGGGCTGAAGTTGACCGGACTTTTCCATTTTCTCAAAGAATCTATTCTGGCAGTCCCGGCTGGCAAAGTCCGTCTGAAAAACAGTCAAATTTTGGTCACATAATCATCTATGAATATTTCCTGTGCTGATGCAATTTCCCCATTCATTTGTTAAGATCCTCAAATAGATTATTTTTCCCCATCTCCTTTTTTTTTTTTTACAAAAATGCACGAGATGACCAAAAGAAATACCAAAATTTCACTAAAAACAACTCCTTGTGAAAAATACATTTTCTTAAAATGCATGACAAAATTCTTGCATACATTTGTTTACTAGAATTGTTTGTTTTTACCTCATAAGACCCTAAGTGGTACTTACCATAATCTTCTTTCCGTTGAGTATCCGGTTGCGCATCTCATTGAGGGCGAACTGTGCGGCGTCAATATTGGTAAAGAATACCAACGCCTTCCCGCCATTTTTATCAATGATGCCATGACTCACATTGCCATACCGACTAAACTGTCGACACAAGAAGCTCTCTGAAACTGTCTCGGCCAGGTTGTCCAACCATATACAGTTTGTAGGCATACTCTTCCCAAACCCAAGCTGGAGAAAAATAAAAACAAAATCAGGATATTTTGATAACAATTCTTCAAAGAGCATTATGAAATTGAAACGTCATTTTTTTTTAATTTTTTTTTTATATATATATATACAGAGAAATCCGTGCCCCGTGTAGAATGCCGATCACTTACCTTAATCTTCATCGAGCCTATTGTTTGCCCCTCTAGTTCCTTTAATGCCTTTACCACACTCGTAATATCTGCGTACTGAACAAATGCATACGCGGACACTGCTCCTTGTCGCTTAACGTCAATATCCTGAAAATAGCCAAAGGAAAGGTCACACACAAGTCACAACATAAATAAACATCTGGTGGCATTTTTAAGAAACTGATAACGATATCGGCAAGTTGATAACTTGGCTTGTTGCTTAATGAATACGGGAAAAAGTTACTGACACATCAACTGAATAGAAATTCGGAAATCAACACCCCCCCCCCCCCCCCAAAAAAAAAAAA